CAGCAGCAGCAGCAGCAGCAGCAGCAGCAGCAGCAGCAGCTTCACAGCGTGTCTTTCCCAGGCTAGCTCTAGGCAGGGCTGGAGGAGGAGGAGGGGGCGAGCAGCAGCAAGCCGGAAGTGGAGGCGCACGGCATCAGCCAGCCGGTTTCTGTAGGGAGGGGAGAGGGATGGCCCTTCCTTACTTGGCGGGCAGAGGGGCGTACGCAGGTTTCCTCATCCTTGGACACAAAGACGGTGGTTTAGTGTGGCGATGAAGGCGAGGGGAGGCTTGAAAACCAAGCTTCTGATTCTTACCATTTCAGCCAGATCGTGGCTCCCTGTAGACTTTTACAACTGGTGGAGGGGGGAGAGGGGGGGAGTTTAGGTTCAAGGAAGCACTGGATGCTCGAAAGCGCCCATCAGCGACCCTGTTCATTGTTCAGCTGTAACATCACAGGACGCTCAGAATCCAACTGTTCTGTGGACCACTGTCGAGACTTTGCCTGTGCAAAGTCCCCATGAGATGGATTGGAAGATGGACTGATACTGGGGGACCTATTGCAGCCTAAAACCAGCAGCATTGCTCTCACGTTGGCACCAAGCGTACCTCTCCAGGGCAACGGCCCATTAAATATTAACACTGGCTGGGTGAAAAATGTGCAGGAAGGAAGTCTGCTGTTAATTCATTGCTAAGGCGGGAGGCCAGGAAGCCGCCTGCATCCATTTCGGGTGCGTTAGACTCGCTTGAAGCTGCTTAGATCACAACAAAGAAAACCGAAAATGTCAGCGGGAACAGAGGAGGCTTTGGCGGCACTGCAGCGTTCGCACTTGGAGGGAAGAAACCCCTACCAGGTCTTGGGGCTCCGGGTGCCCCCTCGCTACTGCAAAGACACGCATCTGGCAGGGCCCGCCAGACTTTTGGCAGGAAATGCTGGCCTTCGCAAAGCAACCGAAATCGCTGCACCGAGAAGAGTACTCGTTGTGCTGCTGAGAGCAGCTGGCTTTGCTCAGACGCTACGCGTCCCATGTCCCATGGCGCCATCTCCGTGGCCCTAGAGCGGAGCTGCCATATCCTGCGGGCACTTACCGAACGTCAGATGCGGCCTCGTATCTGGACTGTGGAGCAACACTTTCACGTGCCGGCGCCTGCAAATTTATTCCACTTTTCCCCCCACCTAGAGTTGTTAGACTAGGTTATGCTATAAATCTAACTTAACGCCGCTAACACCGTGTTAGGCAACGGTTGGGGAGAACGCGCACGCTGAGCCGAGCAGAAGACAGTCCTTTGCGGCAGCGCAGCAGGGGCTGTGGACGGTGCTCGCTCCGGCGGGCGAGGCGACGTGCAGTGAGGCCGCTCTGAGCTGACCGCTGCTCACGCGCGGCGGGCCGGGAGTGGGGCACCCACCCTGGAGGAAGGCGGCCCCGGAGAGACGCACCTTTTAACATTGGCCCCGGGCCGGGAAGAAGCCGGTGACCGAGGAGCGCGGCAAGTGCAGCTGCTCGGATGCCGGCACGAACGGCAAAATTAAAACGAGCGCGTCGCAAGGGAGCACAGATATAACGGCTGTACACAGGGAAGGCCGTAGACGGTCCCATCTATTTCAAAATATTTATTTAGGGGGGGCACGAAGACAGCGAGACAAGGGAAAGAGCCCGTCCAGCAAGAAGCGCGAGTCGGCCGTCGTGGCGAGATCATGCAGGCGCAGACGCTTCTCCCGGCCCGTCCGTGGCTAGAGAGAATTCAGG